CCAGGATCCCTGGGGGATGGAGAGAACTGACCCTGAAAGTTGTTCTCTGACCGCTACATGAACACCATGACAAAGTATGTGCACCACCCAACAAATAAATAAAGAATAAACATAACTTTTAAAGAATATATATTTATAGATCTGGGCAGGGTGGCGCAGGCCTTTAGTTCTAGCTCTCATAGGCAGGAGCAAACACATCTCTTTGAGTTCCAGAATAGCCAGGGCTACATAGGGAGAGACTATCTCTAAGGGAAAAACAAAACAAAACAAAACAAATATATCTGTATACACACACATAAATGCATTTTCAAAATTTAATGAGAAAACTCATTTATTTAAAATGGGTAACAGTGAAAGTTTAGAACACTAGATTTTATCAAAGATAGACAGGTGGTGAAGAGGCACATAAAAAGATTTCAACATCATTTGTCATCAAAAAAGAACTGTAAATAAAGTAACAAGAGATACAGTCTCACCCCGAAACTGAAAACTGTACTAAGTGCCAGAGAAGAGCTCTGGGCATGAGAAGGGCCATTCCATCATCAAACCACACTTAACACTTGCAGCCCAGCACTAACTCGCACATGACAGTAGGATGTGCTCATTAGTGATGTGGGAAACCTAGAAGTCATCCCATGTCCTCCAGCCCACATGGAGATACAGCCACACCACGTAATCCTACACGGGGGAGAAAGAAACCGGGTACGGATTCTCACGATCTAGGACGCACGTCAGGCAGGCTGCTGAGAAAGGCAGCCAAGCTCAGCTAGGTGTGTGGGTTTGCCTGCTTGGAATCCCAGCCTCGTGGGAGGCTGAAGCGGAAGGGGTGGTTGCAAGTTCAGGACCGGGCTAGACAACCCGATGAGACTCTGTCACAAAACAAAAATTAAAGTGCTAGGGATAGGGGCTGCAAGGATGGCTTGGCGCCTCAGAGTACCTGCTGCTCTTTCAGAGGACAATTGTCTTTAACTCCAGCTCTGGAGGGTCTTTGCTGGCTTTTGAAGAAATGCACATTTGCATGCACACACCCACACATAGGCACACACAAGTAAGGCAGGCTCACGGTGGTGTGTCTGAGATGTGAGAGGAGACAGTCCAGGGTAGGGTAGCCTCCAACTGCTCAGTTCTCAGCCCTCATCATTTCCTGCACCCCCACAGGGGGGCTGGGGTATCTGCCACGTCAGGCTCTTAACCATGAAGGGCTGGATGAGCTGTCATTTCACCTCTGCTCATCTGGGTCACCAGCAGTCACCCGTACACTCTGCCTAGCTCCAGTTGTCTATAAAAACTCCCACAACCTGATATGACATATGCTTGTATTCCTAGCACTTGGGAGGCTGAGGTAGGAAGGTCACCAAAGTTCAAGGCCAGCTTGGGCTATACAATGAGGCCAAAGCTAGCCCCAGCTATATAATGAGTTTGGGGTTGGCGTGCTCAATGTAAAAAATAAGGCTACACAGTGATGCCTTGTCACAAAATTTGGAAAAAAAAAAAAAAAGCAATCTTACAAAGGGTGGGATGGATATCTTCATGCATCAGAATGCTTAGAAACAACACTTTAAAAATACTCATGTCTGTTTCACTGTCTTTACAACAGGATTTTAACATCATTTCTCACAATTAAATGAGTCAGGATTGGCAAAGTGCTCTCACGGGTGCCTGGTGAGTAGAGAGACTGGGAGACAGAATGGTGGGAACTGCTACTTCAGCACCCTGGGGTGGAAGGACAAGCTCAGAGCCTGTCTAGTGACCAAGCTGAGGCCACACCCCTGCAGAACTCGGGGTTTTGAAGTGTGTTACCTTCAGCAAAAGGGTGTGGTAGGAGGAAAGCTACTTTTTTTTTTAAATCTGTCTTTTTTTTCTTTACCTCTACACTGAAAAAAAATTCCTCAAATATTCTGAAATCATAGGCTTCTGTGTGTGTGTGTGTGCGCGCGCACCCAAGTGTCACAGGACCCACACAGAGGTCCGAGGACAACCTGTAGGAGTTGGGTCTTTCCTTCTACCATGTGGGTTCTGAGGACTAAGTGTGGATCCTTGAGACTTGGTGGTGAACATCTTTTCAGACTGAGCCATCTAACCAGGACTTGGTTTGTTTTTTGTTTTTGTTTTTCAGACAGGCGACACACAGATAGTAGATGCTCAATATGTACAGGCTTTTTGTTCTTTTGTTTTGTTTTTTGTTTTTTTGTTTTTGAGATAAGGTTTCTCTGCATTGCCTTGGCTATCCTGGACTCACTTTGTAGACCAGGCTGGCCTTGAACTCACAGAGATCCACCTGCCTCTGCCTCCCTGAGTGCTATGGATTACAGGTATGTGCCTCCACACCCAGCTATGGGCAGACTTCTTAAAGTCCAGGTCCTTTAGTTTTGAGCCTGGTCAGGTCACCTTCCAAAAGGCAGGCTTATGGGGATGTCACAGTGGCCAGGACTCACATTTTGCTTCTATGGTTACTAAAGGGATGAACCCTGACTTAAAAGGCCCAATCCCCACCACGGGGAGGTCTCCAGCTTTAGCAGGACCTCCATGGCCTCTCCCACACTGACTGAAGTTTTGCCGCACTCAGAATCCTGGCAATCACCAGCTGCCACCCTATTCCAAGTCTGTGTGGTACAGTGAGGGACTCAGCTCTGGTGCCCACAGCAGGGGCTCTATTGCCAGGCACTGCAGTGGTCCGGCAGGGTGGCTGCCTTGGCTGGGCTCCTCAGTGGGTATGGATCCTAGCTGATGGAGAAGTTGGCATGCTGTGTTCTACTGTCACCAACCCCCACACATCACCCAGTCCCCACTCCCACTTGCTCCCTGACATCTGGGTCCCACCTGACCACTGGGACACAAGTCTTAGCAACTGCTGATCTTTGGAGTTCCAGATTTGACAAGACAAAGGTCGGAGAGACAACCCCAAATCAGCAGGGGTTTCTCCCAACGCAGCTTCATCCGGTCCCTTCCTCCTGCCCCCTCACAGCGGCCGCATCCACCTAAAAGCTTCTGGGGTCAGAGTTCAGTTCTCCCTTTCTGGCTCTCCCTCCTGAGCACTGTCACTACAGCTCACAGGGTCTGGATCTAGATGAGAAGAAGCTGCCTGGGTCCCTCTACCTCTGCTACCTTACAGAGACATGCCCACTGATACTGAAGTGGACTCTCTCAGAGAGAATGTGAAGTGGGCCACGTGTGCCCTGGATGATTGGCGCCCATGAGTTTCGTTTGTGCCAATGAGGACTTAGCCTCCACCTCCATCTCTGCGAATGAGCAAAAAATTACAAATAATAGCTGCTGATTATTGAGCTTCCTGCATGTCAAGCAGGTTACAGATATAATTGTCCTTAACAACCCTGTGAGAAGGACACAATTACCATGCCCACTTTTTAGATGAAGAAATCAAAGCTTAACAGGGTAGGTGACCTGCTAAGATGCCAAGCTAGTAGGTGGCAGAGCGCGGATTCACATCAGGACCCAACCACCCAAAGCCAAACTGGGATAAGACTACAGAGGGCCACAGGCCACAGGCTACAGTCCCTAAGGCTCCCTCCAAAAACAGCAGGAACATTTCCACTTCCTGACATTCTCTCATCCTTTGGCTCAGCTCAGCAAATTCTTCCCAGACCAGCACACTGCCTAATGCCATACGAGTTTCAGGGAGAGGCAAAGAAGGCCACACGGTCAACTACGTGTGGTACAGACACACATGCCTTTAATACAAGCACTCAGGAGGCAGAGACAGGAACATCACTGTGTTTGAAGACACTCTGGTCCACATAGCATAGCATTCCACTCCAGCCAGAGACACTCAGTAAGAAAAGATTACAGCGTTCCTGCCAAATGGGTGGCTACAAAGGAGGAAGGGTGGATGGGGTAAAACTGAGGGCTTCCTGGAAGAGGCAGTGACCAAGTGTATCTGAAGGCTGACTGTCTCTCTAGTCCCTGGACTGTCACCCTCTGACATAGAGCATGCATTCCAGACACACCTGATAGGGAGCTCATGGCTCGGTCTCTGCTCCAACAATAAATCACCACCAAAAATGCTACCTTGTTACACGGACTCATGCAGACACAGACATGTGCACACAAACCCCCTGTATGCCTGGAAAATTCCTCTCCACAGCCCACCTCCGCCATATGCACTGCCACTCCCGAGGCAGGGCTGTGCGCTAGCCTCTGGGTTTCCAACATGCCCTATGTCTCGTTGATGACACCGATACTCCTATGAATTCATACACATACACACTCACATGTATACAGAACACATGTATACAGATCATGTATACAATACTCATGTACTACAGAGACATGAATCATTCATGTTCACATAGGCACACACAAACTCACACATACACAGAGAAAACTGTTTGGTCTCCCTAGCTCCTCCTGTCATTCACATTGCAGAACTCGACTAAATGGATGGCTTGCTTAAATGCTTGGAGTCTCAGGGTAAGTAAAAGGCTAAAATGCTATGATCAATTCAAATTTTTAAAAATGCATGTCACAACAGTGGAACATGACGGCGCCTTCCAGCTGGGTGAACCCAAAAGCCCACACAGGCTGGCCACTCAAGGGGCGCCTGGTGTGGGGACACTCAAGCATGTCTCAAGCTTGATGTTCTGAGGCAGTTCAAGGGAACACACACACCACTGAAGTCCAAGCAGACAGGATCCACAGCTCAGCAGTCTCCCAATTTCTTTGGCCAGTACCTAGAATAAGAACAAAATCTAGGCTGGGCAGTGGTGGCACACACCAGCTTTAATCCCAACACTTGGGAGAGGCAGGCAGATCTCTGTGAGTTCAAGGCCAGCCTGTCTACAGACCTAGTTCCAAGACAGCCAAGGCTACACAGAGAAACCCTGCCTTGAAGAACAAAAACATAAATCAAAACAAACAAACAAAAAAAGCCCATCTACCACAACTACAGTAAGAGTTCCGTGAGGACTTGTCCTCTCCTGGCTATACCCCGATGCCCCTTTATCTCTTGAAGTGCCATCTCTGAGTTCACAAGCCTCACTTACCCAGGGTGTCGGAGCCACTTTCCACTGTCTCGTTGACCTTCCTCGCAACTCTGGCCACGGCCTCTCCCATCTTCCTCAGCATGCAGACGTGGGTGTTCTGCTCCCAGCCTCCAGGCCGGCCTGCTTCTCACAAAGGGGTCTGTGCCTGTCGAAGACACAGGGCTATGAGGCACCCACCTGCCAGCCAAGAGCCCACGACCAGAACCCTCCTCCTTGGGGACCCAGGCCATTAAGAAGCTACAAGGAATTTCCCAGGCCACTCACCTCCTCCAGAGCCCAGGCTACATCCAGCTTGCCCTTTGCAGGGGCTGCTCTGATCTGCCACCCAGAGGGTAAGGGCAGCTGGGTATCACCACCTTCCTGAGAGGATCAACACGTGTGACCTCACCACACACAGAGCTTGAACCAATGGCCAGGCAGGTGTGAGGACTCGGATGGCCTGTGACTCAACAGGTGGGGCAGGGTGTTGGAGAAGAGTCCGTGTCCAGCTAACTGCTGGGGAAAGCCACCTGCCTGTTCTGCGGCCAGCTGCCTTGCTCACCACCCCCATTCCCCATCAACCAGGTTCCCACTACAAAGTGGGAAGTGCGGTGCCAAAGCAAAGGGACCTTGGAGTCTGCAGGTGGATGGTCTCTAGGAAGGCCCTGCATGCCAGATGGAGGCAAGGTGACTGTGTTGGCCCTCAGGCCTCATTTTCAGCTTGCTGCGGGAGTTTATCTGCAAAGAGGAAACTGGATCACTGGGGAGAAGATGTTTAAGGAAGTGTGAGGGCTATGGAAATGGCTCAGCACTTAGGAACACAGGCTGCTCTTCCAGAGGACCTGGGTCCAATTACCAGCACCAAATAAACTAGATATGGTAGGTCGTGCCTGTTACTCCAGTACTGGGAAGTTTCAGATTAGAATTTCAAGGTATCCTTGGCTACATAATAAAGTCAAGGCCAGCTTGGGCTACATGAGACCTCAGCTAAATAAGTAGATAAATAAGGAAATGGAAAAAGACATAAAAGTATCTCCAAGACCTTGTTATTACAGAGAAAGAAACCAAGGCACAAACAGCGGCTAGGTACCCGGTATAAGCTCCAGGCAAGTGAGCCATAATCAGATCCGTGTAGCTCCACTCTCAGTGATCACCTCCTCACAGAAATCACCTCCATCACCACTAGCAGTACTATGCCAAGGAAGAAATTCAAAGTCAACATCAAAAGCCCTCTTCTTCATCGCTCCTGGCCCTGTCCCTAGGCCTGAATTCAGCAGCCACTAATGGAGCTCCAGCAAACCACCCTAGTCAGGGCCCAGAAGCAGAAGAGTCGGGAGGACAGAAAGACGTGGCAACAGTGTTCAGAGCTGGCCAAACAGGGCAGGTAAGTTCAAGCCCAGGAGGTCAATCAATGGTGCTAGGATGAGTATCCCACCAAGAGCTGACACAGGAAAGCCAGAACACACCCAATGGAAAGGGTCAAAAATCCAGCTCTTCCACTGAACACGCTGGAAAGTGTGGGAGGAGATCTCATCCACACTGAGCCCAGAAACACCTCTCTTGATGAGCGCCTGTGACTGTGCAAAACCCGGGAGCCTGCCTCACTCTGAGCCCAGGACTCATAAACACTCAACAGAAGGCAGCTGAGAGGGCACAGGAGGACCTGTGCAGGTGTGACGCCAGCGCTGAGTCTTCTGTGTGCGACCCACGGGACTCTGAGCAAACACCTCAGCAGAAACTCTTCTTTGAGGAATGAGCACCCCTCCCATCACTGCACTCCCAAAGTGTCCCTCCTCCCTCTGAGATTCAATGGTACTTAATGACTAAGCACAAGTCACTTGGGTTGTCTGTGAGCTTCAAAATGTCTCTCTCTAGCCAGGCATGGTAGCATACACCTATTTCCAGCTCTGGGGAGTTTGAGGCCTGCCTACTCTGGTCCACATGGTGGGTTCCAGGACAATCAGAGCTACATAATAAAGAGACCCTGTCTCAAAAAACCCACAAGAAAACAGACATCTCTCTATCCCCACTGCCCCCCCCCCCCCCCACTGTTCTGTGAGCACATCGACTCTATGCTTCTTCGTATTCTCAGCAATACAGAAGCTTGGCAAGGGACCTCTGCTAAGTGAGGGTCGGAACACACCATCCAAGTTTCAGATCTGAATGCATGTCCAACAACTCTTTCAACATGGCTAAGGCAGAGTCCAACCCGAATACGATCCTAGGTTCACACATGCTTAAACAGCCCGAATAACATGGGCCAATGAGTGACAGTGGGGAAAGGGAGGACTGTGGCAAGTGTGACCCCCCCGCCTTCACTACGAAGCCTTTTAGCTCAAACCCCTAGGCCTGAATTAGTGCTGCCAAAACTGAAGTGACTCCCTTGTCTTAATTTATTTTACTTCGTGCGTGCGTGTGTATGTGTGTGTGTGTGTGTGTGAATGCAGGCGAGAGAGTGCTGTGGTGCACATGTAGAGGTAAGAGGTAATTTTCAAAAGTGTTCTCTCCGCTGTAGGTTCTCAGATCAAACTCAGCTCATCAGGTTTGGCAGCAAATGCTTCTACCCACTGAGCCACCTCACTGGCCCTAAGCGGATTTATATTAATCCCTTCACAAACAGGGAAACTGAGGAGCCAAGAAGGTAGGCCAAAAAGCCAAAAGGAAACACAGCCCCCCCCCCCAACTCTTCTAGTTCTTGAGTTTGGTTACTTGGTTTGCTTTGGTTTTTCCAAGACAGGGTTTCTCTGTGTAGCCCTGGCTGTCCTGGGACTTTCTCTGTAGTTCAGGCTGTCATAAAGATTCACCTGCCTCTGCCTCCCAAGTGTTGGGATTAAAGGCATATACCACCAGCACCAGGCCTCTCCTAATACTTAACCTGGGGTTCTTCCTGCTGTTCTATCTTCTTTCCCCTCTCTAGGAAAACAGGGCACATTCTGCACAAGGGCCAAGATAGGGTAGCAGGGCTCAAAACAAATTTGAGGGGACTGGCTTGGGCTCCAGTTTTCTTGGCCCCACCAAGAAAACTATCCAACTGTATTTAGTGGCCAACAAACCTGAAGGGATTTCTACGAAAAGAAGTTCGAAGAGAAAGGCTGGGGAGAAAAACACAGCTGTTCTTGCTGGGTCTGGTGGCACTGGCCTATAATCCCAGCAACTCAGCAGTCTGAAGCAAGAGAATCATAAGTTCAAGACCTGTCAGGACTACAGAAGTCAGTTCAAGGGCCATTTACTGAGGCCCTTCTCCTGGCCCTGCATTTAATCCCAGTACTGACAGGGAATGGGAGGGATGGGATGGGACACATGGCTGTTCTTTTTTCTTTTCAATGTTTTAAAAAGAGGAACAGACAATTGTCCAAGTCAAACAAAAGACAGGGCTGTGGGCTGCCCCCACATCTACATAAACAATTTGAGTCCATTCATAATAAGCATGCAATCAGCACTATCTGAATAGTCAAGGCATCCCTCTGGAACCAGAACAAACCACAGGCCCCAGGCCAGCCCCACATGTCTAGGTTCTAGGCTCCCAGAGGCAGAAATCTGGTCAACCCTTCATATAAGGATGGTAGCGAAGATTCAGGGAGAAACAGGAGCCATCCACCCATGTGGGTGAGAGCTACTTCAGTACAACCAGTGCCACTCACCCCAGACTCTGGGTGGGGAGACTCAGAAAGGTTCAAGGAAACTGGACATAGTGGCACGTTTCTATAACTGCAGTACAAGGAAAGTTGAAGCATGAAGATCTTGAGTCCAAGGTCAGCCTGGGCAACAGAGCAAGACCCTGTCTCAAAAATACAAAGGAAGAAAGAAAGGAGAAAAATAAGAAAAAAAGAAAAACCTGAGGAAAAAAAGGAGGAAGAAGAAGAAATCACTCCAAACCCAAGGTGCTTAGACAGACAAAATAAGTCCTTCCTAAGTACTCACCCCCCCCCCCCCCCCAAGTTTCTAACACAGCCTCAGGACATGTTTAAATTTGAAATCTTTTGGTCACCAGCTATAAAATCCATATTACACAATAAAGAGGCAGAGTCAGGGTACGGACTACAGGCAACCCTACCTTTTGACATTGCAACATGGCACGTACATGTATATTTAAACTGCATTCACAGCTCTCCCCTGGGCCCTGGGTTAGGCATGCCTGATGGAATAAGCTTCCCACTGGGAGACAGAATGAGGCAGTTATATGCCAGTACAGCCTCAGGGTGGGGGTGAATGGAGGCCTGTGGCATGACCCCAGAGGGAGGAACCACAGGTGCCAGCAACAGGTAGACAAAGTTAAGCCACAGAGAAGGCCTGCAGTCTGTTTATCCCAGACCTCTGGAGGCCTTCCTAGTAGGCTGTCCTCTGAGGGGCACACCTAATCCAAGAATGATTCTGGAAAGTTCTCAATGTTGTGGGATAGCCATCACCTTCCTCAATGGAGCTATTATGAAAACCAACTGACGATAAACCACTTCGGAGGAAGGGCTTTGCAAGCCTTAAGGGCTTCCCACATTAAAGCATGACCAATCAATAAATAGGTGATCAAACAAGAGTAGACCGGAAGTTTGCATATAATAAACTGAAGGCAGGTGTGCTATTCTGCTTTGAGAGCGCTATGATTTTGAGCACTGTGCAATTTCCGTGCCAGATCAGAAACTGGTCCCGTCTAGATTGCAAACTGGGGCCTAGGGTACTTAAACCTTGACCACGGTTCTGACCCAGCCCTTAAGGGCCAGAACTCTACCACGTTATCTGCAGCCCTGAGATCTATGCAAAGGAGCCACTGCGACACTCCGGCCGCACCAGCTGGTCCTATATTTAGTTACTGTTGTGGTCAACTGGGAACTTTAGAGCCTGGCAGGCGCTCCGCGGGGCAACAAGAGCCTCCGGAGCCATGTGCAAGAGCTGCCCCGCCGCCAGCTCCAGTAGGGCTTCGGGACCCTGCCAAGGCCAAGAGCCGTGCGGCGAGAAAAGGGGCAACAGCGCTACTTCGCACTCCAGCAGTCCCAAAGGCCAACTTGAGGCCAGGACAGAGCTGACCCACTTTCCCACCCCGGGGAGAGAGCCCGCTGGGGTGAGAGTGGGACGCGTCGGAGCCTGGTTCTGAGCTTTGGGGTTTGGGGAGCCCGGAGTAAGCATCCTTAGACTGGACCTGCACATAGCTGTTGGAGCTAGCTAAGGACAGGATCCCCCGAACCCCATACCCGCAAGCCAGTGGTTTCTCGTGTCCAGCCCCAAGCTGGCCTGACAGGCAGGGACTGGGGCAAATAAAGCAAGCGGTTGGAAGGGGAGGCTGGTATTCGCTGAGGCCGGGGGCGTCCCACACTAACAAGGGTGGAGAGGCACACTCCCGGAGCGACATGCGCAGCTGCCTTTCCCGGTAGGCACCGGCAACTCCCCGGGGAAACGGAAGCCGGGCTGTCCGGGAGCTCTAACCACTCCCCCGAGCTATCTCTCGGGCCGGCTAGTCCATGACCCCCGGGCACCGCCCGAGCCACGGCTCAGTGCTACCAGGTGTACCGGGGGGAGGGGAAGAGACGCGACCAAGCCCGGGACCTTATTTTTCCCTCTCCCGCAAACTCTGCCACGCTCGGCCTCTGGCCACCGTTATTCTGCACGGCGCGAATTCTGTGGGCCGCCTGAAGTAGCACTTACCGCGACAATGCGTCCTAGAGCCTGGCGCCGAGCAGTCAAGCTCCCTCGGCGGCCGCCAGCACCCGGTGCAAGTTCCGAACCCAAGGGGCGGGGCTGAGGGGCGGAGCCAAAGGGACAGCGAGCTCAGCGCGCACGGCCGCTCGGCCAATTGCAATGCCAGGATGAGGGCCAGGGCGGGGTAAACCCCGAGCTTCGGCATTGTGCAACCAATCAGCGTGCAGCTCCTCCTGCGCGCTCGGGAACCCCAGGGAGGAACCGCTTTGTGTAGAGTCTACCCGACCCGGAGCGCTACGAGTGGGCGCCAGCACCTTCATCTTTAGGATGCTGCTCCTGGCTGGGTTTTCTCCAGATGAGGCCGAGTTCGGCAGATCAGGGAACTATGGCAAACACGAAGGAACGCCAGTTGAGGCTGCACTGTAACTTCATCTCTCCAAAGCTCAGTACACATGGAATTATAGTCCATAAATATCTGCTCACGGGGTCATTGTGAGGACTGATGAAGAGACTGTTGAGTACAGCGCTTCTGCGATGGAAAAACACAACTCTCACCTCAAAGGGGATCAGAGATGGTTTATCCTGGAGCCGAATGGGAGTGACCCTAGCCCTACAACACAGATATAGGTTAATCCAAATGTCATGTTCCAACATGGTAAGAGTTTGATGAAGCTGTGTGTTGCTTAGCTTTTTTTTTTTTTTTTTTTTAGTTTGTTTTATGCGTGTTGGCCTGAATGTGTATCTGTGCACCACTTGTGTGTCTGGTGTCCTCAGAGGCCAGAAGAGGGGCCAAATTCCCTGGAATTGGAGTTACGGACATCTATGAGCCACCGTGTATGTGCTGGGACCTGTACCTCGGTCCTCTGCAAGGGAATGTTGAGCCATCTCTCCTGCCTCTTGATGAAGAACAGAGAAAGACATAAAACAAGGCACTTTTCAAGTATATTAATAAAGATCCCAGGTAAACAGGCTACAGCAAAGGAGGGAAAAGATCTCAGCGATAGGCCTCAGGTGCTAGTCTGAGGGCATTCTTAGCCCTTTGATTGATTGGAAACTAGGGGTCTGTTCACGAATTCTAAATGACTTACTGAAAATGGCTACAAAGATGGTAAGCTAGGAAGAGAGCACAGCAATCAGTAGTTGCTGAAAGTCATAGGATGCCTGGAAATAATCTGGCTTCAAACCTGCAACATTCCAACCTCTTCGCATCACTAAAGTTCTAATCAATAAATCGGACTAGCGGAAGGTGCAGTTCTTTTCAACAATTTTTATTCACAGTACCCAAACTAGCCATCATGACCACAGCTTCTAAGATGTAGCCATCTCACAGGCCTCCTGTTGTGTAATAGTTTCCCAAAACACTCCATTCTGCAGGAAGCTGCTTAAGTAATAAGCAACTCAAAATAGCTTCAGGAAGTCCCTGAAATTGACCAGATTCACTAGGTCCTGCCTACCAGATTTAGCAATAATCTCAGTTTTTTAGGGATATGCTGGTCCTGGACTCTTGGTTTGAAATCGGTCTGTTTCTCATCCTTGAGATCTCTTTTAAAAAGAGACAAGGCATGTTGCTTAATGATGTCTTCATTATCTAATGGAGCAGAGGACACTCTTAAGGCATGAGAGTACGCAATGGCCCCAAGAACCACTTACCTGTCTACATTTTAAGCAGGGCTTGTGCTGTTTCCGAAGCCTATAGACAGGCAGTTTTTTTCTGAGTGAGTTTGTCCTGTTCAGGTGCCTGACAGGCCTGTTCGGATTGACTTAAAAGAAAAAAAAATTTTTTTTTTTTTTTGTGTGTGGGGGGTGAGTATGGTGTGGTGTGGGTGTGAGTGTGGTATTCATCTGTGAGCAAAAGCACATGCATATATAAGTGGAAATCAGAGAACAACTTCTGCTGTGCCTCCTCACCTTGTTTGAGATAAGAAGAACCCCTGGCTCACTGCTATGCCAGGTGCACTGGACTGTCAGAAAGCCTCCTGTTAGACAGGAGCCCTACGAGGCTTAGAATTCCAGGAGCCAAGTCTATTAGTAACCTTCCAGACAGTTCAGGTTGTCACATCTCCCACGGCCAAAGGGCTCGGGTCTCATTCCCCTGAGCAGCCAATAGAGCCCTGAGTTTCAGTCCGTGATTTTCCGAGTTGTTGAATCTGAGGGATGAAGGGACCTGGGCCAGCTCAAATATGGCAAGCACGGCTCTGGCAGACCTTGCCCTTTCTTTCTTCCATCACCTCCGACATTCCGAAAAAAAGAAAAAAAAGTTAAGATTACATCCCCAAAACTAGCCACCAAGGTATATTCCCTTATTTGGCCACTGCTTCCTCCTGAGGCTAACTGCTAAAGTCCAGTTATCAAAGTATTAAAGTCCAGCCATCAAAAGCCCCCTTGGCACGGTAGAGGACAATGCCGCCACTTTTGATGAGAACTGATAGACTAAGATCAGAAAGAAGGAGAGGAAAACCTCCCCTATCAGTGGAGTTGGGGAGGGGCATGCATGCAGAAAGGGGAGAGAGGGTGGGATCGGGAGGGGAGGAGGGAAGGGCTTATGGGGGGATACAAAATGAATAAAGTGTAATTAATAAAAAATTTTAAAAAAAAAGCCCCCTTGGGTCCATCTAATTCACATGCCCAATTAAAATTAAATCCCTCGTCCTAACATGGGGGTTTCTCCTTGTACCTTTATAAACTGTCATTTTCTTATGTGCCATTTTTCTATATGTCTCCTCTATATCCAGAGGCAGTCCTTTGTCCCCTCCCCCCTCTTCCTTATTCCTTTTCACTTCTTCCTCATCCTCTATCTCCTGTCTTGGTCTCATTCCCTGCCATTTGTCCCTCTGGGGCAAATAAATTTGCTCTGCACTGAGAACTTGGTCTTGACGTTCCTGAGCCAATTCTTTTCCTTTCAAGGGGTCCAGTCCCAGTGTCTTCCTGGCCTGCTAATGTTTACATAGCTACCTGACATGTCCATGAACCCTTTACAGGGAAAAGGAAAGACAGACAAGATGAGACCCTCTCACCCTCCAACAAACACTTACACTCATTAACTGGGGAGGTCTGGAGAGCGAATATTGAATTCAGCTTAGGCAGTGCAGCACACTTCTTAGGTAGGGCCTTAGGGTTTGTGTCTCCCTAAAAGATATGTTAATTCTAATTCTTAAAGCTGGGAGTATAGCTCAGTTGATAGAGTCCTTTGCTTGCAGGAAGCCCTGAGTTTGGTCCCTAGCACCTCAAAAAAAACAGACATGCAGTGTATGCCTGGAGTCCCAAGATACAGGGGGAAGACAAAAAGGTCAGAAGTTCAAGATTCACCTGGGCTACATTACAGAAAGAAACTCACAGTTCCTCAGAACGTGTCCTTCTTGAAAATAAGGTCACCCTGGAGAGCGACAGATGGCCTCCAAGACGAGGAGGGGCACATACAGAACACCAAGTGATGATGGATATAGAAAGGAGAGGTGCTCCTGCGGTCAGGGAATGCAGAAATGCATGGTGGACCAGAAGCTAGCAACAGGGGAGAACAGAGTCTCACACCTCGGATCCTGTCAAGCTCATTTCTGACGTCCAGATCCCAGAGCCGTGAGAGAAGAAATCCCTGCTGTTTTGAACTACCCAGCTGGGCACAGTAGTGCATGCCTGTTGTTCCAGCTGTTCAGGGGATCTGATATGTTTGAGTTCAAGAACAGACTGGGCAACATACCTAGATGTTGGGAGCACAGCACAAAGGTCCTAGTGACCACAAATCTCCCTCAAAACCAGGAATGTAAAGCATTAGGGATTGTCCTTCCAATGAGAAAGATAGGAATTAGTAGTAATTAGTAGTCTGGTAACAGGTATAATCTGTTGGATCAGACCACATCAAGCTCCTACAACCAGGATCAGAGGTGGCTAGTCATCTAACTGACCCTTATAGCCTGGAGCTCCCCAGGCTGCTCCCACAACCAGGACCAGAGATACCAAATAGTCTAAATGACCCTTACATTATCTGCACAGCCAGGAGCTCCCCCAAGCTCTCACAACCAGGACCAGAGGTAGCTAATAATCCAAAGGAACGCTATACTATCTGTATGCCTGAGACCAAGCCAGACCTTTTGTTAGGTCTTTAAGCTAGTACAGAACAGGTAGCCTATCTCTGGACCCATGTTCTTGGAAGAAGGGACATGTACCCTGAGTGGGATTTTGATGTATTTATGCTTCCTTGTGCGTCACGGATTATATTACACCAGGAAACTTTTTTTTTTTCCCCAAAGTATACTGTGTTTAAATTTGTTGGGAACGGCTAGAGAAATGGCTTAGTGGTTAAGAGCACTGCCTGTTCTTCCAAAGGTCCTGAGTTCAATTCCCAGCAGCCACATGGTGGCTCACAACCATTTATAATTAGATCTGGTGCCCTCTTCTGTCCTGTAGACATATGTACAAGCAGAACACTGTATAAATAATTAATAAATAAATCTTTAAACTCGTTGGGAATAAACCTCCTGGGATTGAACTCCCTAAAGTTTTGATCCAGGTTCACAAAGTCAATCTGAACTGAGTGTTCACTGTCACTTCCTCCAGGCTGGCTTCCCTGCCTGCCACGACCACCCACAGAGTCCCCTTCAACTAGGCGCCATCTCAAAAATTGAAAGTAAATAACTGTCTGGTTTGTGTGGATTTGTTATAGCGGCTAAATGTAGGAAAGGAACACAAGCAGTGTGTCTCCAACCTGAAAATTCAAAATCTGAAGTGAGACAAATTCCAGAACTTTCTGAGCTCCGACATGACCCCACATGTAGAAAACTCAACACCTGACCTCATGTGAGAGGTCATAATCAAAATGAAGGTACATAAAATAATAATAATGGCAACGACAATGAAGTTGACAGACCTGGTTTGTTTGTTTGTTTGTTTTCAGGAAAATCTGTGTAGACTTGGGTTCGATTCCCAAAATAGTTCACTGTCTATGTGTAAACATTCCAAAGTAAAAATAAGACCTGAAATACAGAACGCTTCTAAGCACAGCATGGTGGCACTCAAATTTAATCCCAGCACTTGGAAAGCAGAGGCAGGAGGATCTCTGTGAGCTCCAAGCTACCCAGGGCTACACGGCGAGACCCTGCCCTCGCCCCAAAAAATAAACAGGTGAGTCACAGAGAGAGATGGATTGCTGGAGCTTGCTCACTAGCCAGTCTAGACACCAACTGGTAAGGTTCATGGAACAGGCTGTTGAAAAAAAAAAGAGAACAATTGAAGAATACACCCAATGTTAGCCTGTGGCCTCCACATCCACACATGTGTACACACACAAGGTCAAGAAGGAACCCTGGGCAACACATTGAAACCTCATCTAAAGAAAAAAAAAAGCCAGACTTAGCGAATAGTACAGGCTTGTAATTCAGCTACTCAGGAGACTAAGACATGATAATCAAAAGTTCAAGACTAGCCTGACCCTTCTCAAAATAATGTTAGGAAGCACAGTGGTAGAGCAATTGCCTAACACGGCTATGCGACACCCTGGGTTCATCCTAGCACCATAAAGGGAGTGACAAGGGAAAGAACATTTTGGGGTCCTAACCCCCCACATCAGACTGTGATCTCATCTGGAGATAGCTTCTTTACAGAGCCAACCAAGTTAAAATTATGGCTTTTAGGGTAGGCTCTAATTTAATATGATTGTGTCTTTGTAAAAAGATGAAAATTGTGTGCACATAGACCTACATAGACAGGAAGACAAATGGGTCACAGACAAAATGCCATTTACACACCAAGGCAAGAGTCTGACACAGATCCTGCCCTGGTGGTCCTTGGGAAATCATATTTGACATCATGATTCTTATTTCTAGCCCCCAGTACCCAAGAACAATAAACTTCTGTTGCTAAGCCACCCCATTTGCTGTCCTGTGTGGAAGAAGCCTTGTGTCCTCCTCCCCCTAGCGGTGTCGCTGCCCCCGGCTGAGTCCCCAATAGTCAGGTTTGATGTCACTGTAGAGAGACGCAGCAGTTTCTTTTATCCACCTTCCAAAAAGTTCTGCCAAGTGAGAGGTGCTTCCTCCTCCGCCCCCGCCCCGCGCGAGCACGCACACACACAATACTGGTACAACAGGGGTGAGCAGAAGCGGTTGATCTCCCACTCAAAGGTCTCGTTCTTTGCCATAGAAATTAAGATTCAGCCAAGAGTGGTGGCACATGCCTTAGTTCCAAATAGGACAGCCAGAACCATGTAGAAAAACCCTGTCCCGATAGATACATAAATAGGTAGATAGACAGATATATATATAGAGAGAGAGAGAGATAGATAGATAGATAGATAGATAGATAGATAGATAGATAGACAGACAGACAGACAGGCAGACAGATCCCCAAAAGTTAAGATTCACTGGTTAAAAAAAGAGAGAGAGAACATTCGTTTCCCACCCACTCCCCCCCCCCCCCCCCCCCCCCCTCCCCCCCACAAGCTACCGTCCTAATTTCTGGTGTATTAGCGCCACCCAGTGGGAAGCCTGAGTCGCACAGGCAGGCTCCGAGGGCCTGATAGAATCAAACCCTCTTGTAGGGACATCAAACTCCAGCAGGTGCTGCAAACCTGGGCTTCCCTGTGCTTCTCAGAGATAGGGTTTAGAAGTGTCTTCTGCTTCCCTCTCTCAGTTCTCTCCATCTGATCCCTCCTGTTCTCATCCCCATCCTGTCCGGTCCCTCCCCCTCATCCCCGTTCTCAGAGGAAGTCATGCGTCCCCCCGCTAGAGCCCTTGACTTCTCTGGGTCTGTGGATTACAGCATGGTTATTCATTACTTTACGGCTAATATCCACATATAAATAAGTACATTCCATGTGTGTCTTTCTGGGCCTGGTTGCCTCACTCGGGATGATCTTTCTAGTTCCATCTATTTGTTCGCAAATTTCATGATGTCATTGTTTTTAAGAGCTGAGAAATAGTCCAGTGTGTAAATGTACACATTTTCTCTATCTGCTCTTCAGTTGAAGGACACCTATGTTGTTTCCAGTTTCTGGTAATTATGAATAAATCTGCTATGAACATAGTTAAGCAAGTGTCTTTGCCTTATGGTATAGTGTCCTTTGGGTGTATGTCCAGGAGTGGTATAGTTGAATCTCAAGGTAGTACTATTCCCAATTTTATGAGAAAGTGCCAGATTGATTTCCAAAGTGGTTGTACAACTTTACACTCTCAACAGCAATGGAGAAGTATTCCCCTTTCTCCACATCTTCTCTAGCATGTGCTGTCCTTTGAGTTTTTGATCTTAGCCATTCTGATGCGTATAAGATGGAATCTCAAGGTCTTTTTGATTTGCATTCCCTGAGGACAAAGGACATTGAACATTTCTTTAAGTGTTTCTCTGCCGTTAGAGATTCCTCTGTTGAGAAGTCTCTGTTTAGCTCTGTACCTCATTTTTAACTGGGTTATTTGGTTTGTTGGTGTTTAATTTCTTGAGTTCTTAATATATTTTGAATATTAGCCCAATGTCAGATATGGAGTTGGTAAAGATCTTTTCCCATTCTGTAGGCTGTCATTTTGTCCTTTTGACAGTGTTCTTTGCCTTACAGAAGCTTTTCAGTTTCATGAGATCCCATTTATTAATTGTTGTTCTTAGTGCCTGCTGGAATCAGGGGGCATCTCTGGGACAAGCTAGAAACCTAGAGCAATGGAAACTCACAGGAATCTATGAATGTGACCTAGCTAAGACTCCTAGCAATGGGGCATATGGAGCCTGAACCAGCCATCTCCTGTAACCAGGTAAGACTTCCAACGGAGGGGTTGGGACACCAACTCAGCCACAAAACCTTTGATCTACAATTTGTCTAGCCTACAGCATGTGCTGGGGTAAAGGTGGCACAGAAATTGTGGTAGTGGTCAACCAACAAATGACCAGTCCAGCTTGAGACCCAAGCTATTAGAGGGAGCCCACCTCTGACACTGCCTGAAGGGCCAGGAGCCAGAGGCTGGATATCCCAGAGACCTAGGATAAAACCAAACACAAATGGGGGAAAAGGTCAATAAAAGATTCCTAATGATATTCTGTTATACTCATAGGTTGGTGTCTAGCCCAATATTCATCAGAGAGGCTTCATGCAACAGCTGATGGAAACAGATTCAGAGACCCAAAGCCAAACATTAGGCAGAGCTTGGGAATAGTGCAGAAGGGGGAAGGATTGTAGGAGCCATAGGAGTCAAGGACACCTCAGAATTGATTAACCTCGGCCCACAGGGGATCACAGAGACTGAACCACCAATCAGGGAGTCTGCATGGGACTGACCTAGGCCCTCTGCACATATGTGTAGCTTGGTCTTCCTATGAGACTACTAACAGTGGGAGCAGGTGTTGTCTCTGACTCGAATGCCAGCCTTTAGGACTCCTTCCTCCTACTAGGTTGCTTTCTCTAGCCTAACAGGAGAGGAGGAGCCTAGTCTTACTGGAACTAAATATAGTTAATATCCATGGGAGGCTTGCTCTTGTCTGAAGAGAAATGCAAGAGGAGTGGATGGGGACAGGGCAGGGAGAAGAGGTGGAAGGAGGGACTTGGAGAAGAAAGGGAAGGAAAATGGTGGTTGTTTAAAAAAAAAACTGCTCTCTACTTATAAATAATGAATAAATAAATAATAAATGCTAGGCGGTGATGGTGCACACCTTTAATCCCAGCATTCTGGACTCAGAGACAGGTAGATCTCTGAACTTGAGGCCAGCTTGGTTCCAAGGCAGCCAGAGAAACCTTGTCTGGAAAAACCAAGATAAATAAATAACACTCACCTTTTTTTTTTCCTTAAACATTTTGCATACTTTATATCAAAGAGTGTTAGCAGGGAAATAAGGCATAATTGATAATGGCTCAGGAGGGTCTGACTGGTGTAACAGACTTGTTCTCATAAACTTCCAAAGAATTTATTATCAAAATTAAAAATGAAGCTTCGGTTCTATATAAAGTCATAATCCTGTTCAGTAGTTGTCATGGAGTGTTGGTGGGGGTCTACACACAGCACTGAAGGCAGGAAGGAAGCGAGCAAGGGCTCCAGTTGGAATGTTGAGTGTATTCAGACAGCTTCCTCGTGGCTTAGACGGTCATGACACACTGAATGAAATCATCATAAGAGAAGTTCACAACTCCTTGTTGACCAGAATCCTGTCTTCGGAAGCTATCTGTGAGCGCCCTCAGTTTGACACAGCAGGCGATGTAGTCATCAAAAGTGATCTTCCCACTGGTGCTGTATCGCTTTGCAACTGAATTCACAGTTTGCGGGCTCAACCTGAATCCCATCATTGTCAAGGCCTTCTGCAGTTCCTGGGGGTCCACGGTTCCACTTCGATCACTGTTGAAACTGATGAAGTGTTGCCTCCAGCCATTCAGCACAGCCCAGAACCCCATCGTGAACCCCATCGTGCCAGACATATCTCTATCCAACATTGAAACCATAAGGCGACAAGTCTCCAGATTAAAAGGTTTGTATGCCCCAGCAATGCCAGACTGGGTTAGACACCTCTGCAGCTCGTCGGCATCAATCTGTCCATCCTGTCCAGCCACAGCAGCAAAGTAGCCATATAGCGGATCCTGAGTTTGTCCGGGAAACGCACTTTTGCTCACAGGGCAAATGGTGACACGATTAAAGCTGGTTACGTCGAAGAGAGTCCCCTGTGCCCTGAGAGCCTGCCCAGAAGACATTGGTCCTTGGGGCTGTCCTTGGAAAGGACTCTGAGTGCGGTGGGAACAATGAAGGAAGGTGGCTGCCTAGAGGGCGAAGTTCACACAGTTGTTTGTGAGGGCAAGGGGACAGCACATGTAACGGCTGAACACAAAGCAGTTGGACTGCGGCTTCTGGTGCACAGAGGGTCCTCTGCGAGGCTGTGGAGGAGGTGGGAGTCAGGGCTGAGTGCTCATACGGAGGCTCCACTGGGGAAGGGTGACTCCCAAGTTCACCCTGGGTGTTGGCAGGCAAAGTTGTGCCACACACCCCTCCATCAAACCCAGAGCCTTGTACTCTACCACTAAACCTGTCTCATGATTTTCCTGAGGAAACATTAAGAACAAAAACATTTGATCAGCTGATCTTGGTGGCTCACACCCAAGATCCCAGTGCTGGGGAAGCTGAGGTAGAACTGTGGGTTTCCAGAACAGCCTGTGCTACAGTAAGACCCTGTCTCAAAACCAGAAACAAACAAACCAGCCAGTGAGGATGTGGGGGCAGAATGATCCAGGGTTGAAGACCAGTCTCAGCTACAGAGTGAATTAGAAGCTAGCAGGACTACATGAGATCAGAGACAGACAGACAGACAGACAGGGACAGAGAAAGACAGAAACAGACAGAAAAAGAGGCAAAAGACAGAGACAGAGAAATCTATTTACTCTTAAATAAGGAAGGCATACACCAAAGAAATATTTTGACAGATCACACTTGGTGACTGAATGAATTCATCCAGGTGAGTTGCAGGATCACGGGTGATTCACAGCAGCTATTTGTCTGAAAACTCCCAATCCCTGCCTATGCTGAAAGCCTACAGTGTAGTTCAGGCACACCTGGTTCAGAGCGCCCCCTAGTGTTAAAATGGCAGAGATGATGTCATACTCAGGCTAGGCGAGGTAGTTGTCTTTGGTTTTGTTTTGTTCCTTTTTTTTTGGCGCGGGGGGGGCGGGGGGAGTCCTACAGTGGGAAAGGCAGCCTGTTTTCTGTCAACTGGCACATGTAACAGTCAAGTGGTACCCTTCTCCAGGCAGAATGTAAGGCCAGCACTGCTGCAGTGTGATAACTCCATTCAACCAGTAGCTACCACCTTCCAAGCCAGTGACCAGGGAGGCAGGGGCTGAACACAGACCTAGGATACAGCATTTTCTCTGCTCCTGGGCGTTGTGTGACTTTTCTAGGGAAGATATAAAGGAAATATCTATGTATCCCAATAAGCAGAGTACAGACTGACTAGAGAAAAAGTGTAATGTAAGTTAAGGACAGGAACAACCTCCTGCCCCTTTGCTGTAGTTAGGAGGAAGCTGAGGTCCCTCCTACTAAGGGTGTGATACCATGAGTCGGGGCCTTGAGGTTCACCTTGATATTTGTTCCCCACAAAGGAACAACCAGGCAAAGAGAGAGGCCCATGCGAAGGCCTGTGACAGGAGGAAGCATGGCGGTCAGAGCAACAGGAAGAACGTGAGAGGGAGCAGAACAGATGAGAAGGACACTCTACTGGGCTTTTGCTTTTGCTTTTTTCACTCTCAAGATTTATGTCATGTGAATGAGTGTTTTGTCTGCATGTCTGCATGTCTGCACTTCACATGCATGCAGCGCCCATGGAGGCCAGAAGGTGTCAGATGCTTTGGGATTGGGGTTCCAGACAGTTGCAAACTGTCGTATGGGTGTTGAGAAGCAAACCTGGATCTTTGGTATGAGCAATAAGTACACCAAACTGCTGAGCTATTTCTCCAGCACCTCCACAGGGCTCCTCAGAGATTCCCAGAGAAACAGAAAGCCGTCGAAAGAGAGGGTGGTAGCACGTGGCTGGTCACTGATACTATAGATGAATGGTCCCATCCATAACCAAACAGTAGACATGGGTACAAGGAGTTGTTGCCAAGGCAAGAGAGCCCCACAGCCGGCTGGGAGCTGCATGGGCTAAGTTGGGTTTAGCATGGGACCTGGAGCCAGGACTGCAATAGACACCAAGTGCATACTTGAGAACAAACTACGTGATGTCAGATAAAAAGCCAGGTGGCCTGTCCACACCCTGCTCCAAGAACCAGACATTTGCTCGTCTGTCTTCTGCTTTGAGCCCCACTATGCTCACCCATACAGAATTCCCCTTGACAACCTTGAGATCCACCCAACAGATGGCAAAAGTTCCTGGGACAATATCCCTTGCTTCAACTTGGCAATCACTGCCCTTGGCTAGAAGGCTGGGTACACAGTGTGCCCTGCCTCTGGGCTGCCGCAGGAGCAGGGTATGGCCCGACACTCACTGTTTGGATGACTGTGCATTTCCTCATTTCCATTCCAACTGCTTTCTCTAGTTGGAGCTGAATCTCTCGCATCCAGCACATTCCACCCGATGCAACGTGGCTGCTGTGGGCTCTAGGCTTGCTTTCACCCTGCAGACCTGGGGCAATACAAGAGCTGGATCCACGGAATCCTCTAGTGAATGTCAGGATGAAGAAAGAAGAAAGACAGGAGAGACAGGTTGACTCGTAGTAAGCCAGCAGATTGAAAACTGGCTTCAAGAAAGCCTTAATCAGGGCTATGTGACATTAAGCAAGCCATACCCTTTTTCTTCCTCTCTGCCTGTCTGCCTTCCTCTCTTCTCTCCATGATCGTACACTGAGCCTATTCATGTGGGTGTGCGCATATGTAGGGAGGTAACTGTATGTAGAGTGTCTGCGTTTAACCTCCCAGAACCCTCATAAAAAGCCTGGTGTCCTGGTGTAGGCTTGGAATCCCAGCATCAGAGAGGAAGAGAGTCCCTGGGTCTCCTTGACCAGCCAGCATTGCTGAATCAAGAGGCTCCAGGTTCAGTCAGAGGCCTGAAGAAGAAGGAAGGGGCTGGTGAGATGGCTCAGCGCATAAAAGCTCTAGCTGAGCAAGCCTGGCATCGAGTTCAGTCCCAGAACTCACAGGAAGGTGGAAAAATTACTCCACAAACTTATCTTCTGACTTCTCTATGCACACGGTAGGGTTTGAATGTGCACACACAGACATGTATAATAAATTATTATTATTATTTATTATAATTTATTCACTCTGTATCCCAGCTGTAGCCCCCTCCCTCATCTCCTCTCAGTGCCGCCCTCTCTCCCATATCCCCCCTATGTCTCTCCCCTAGTCCATTGATAGGGGAGGTCCTCCTCTCCTACTATCAGGTCTCATCAGGATTGTCTGGATCCTCTTTCTCTGTGGCCTAGTAAGGCCATCTTACCAGAAGAGGTGATCAAAGAGCAGGCAACCAAGCTCATGCCAGTAACTGCCCCTGCTGCCTTACTAGGGAAGCCCCATGGAGACAGAGCTGCTACATTTGAGCTACATCTGGGCTACATCTGAGCAGCAGGTCTAGGTCCTCTCCATACATGGTCCTTGGTTGATTTATCAGGCTCTGTAGGTCCCCCTGGGCCCAGATTTTTTGGCTCTGTTAGCCTCCTAGTTGTCAGCCTGTTCCCTCCAGGTCTTTCTATCTCCCCCTTCTTTCATACGATTCCCTGCACTCTGCCCAAAGTTTGGCTGTGAGTCTCAGCATCTTCAACCTGCTTTCTTATATCATTCAGGACCACCCTGTCCAGGAAAGGCACCACACAAGATGGACTGGGTCCTCCCATATCAATCACTACTTAAGAAAATATACTACACAGTTGCCCACAGGCCAATCCGGTGGGGACATTTTTTCAACCTAGTTTCCCTCTTCCAGAATGAATCTAGCCTGTGTCAAGTTGACATAAAAACCAGCCAGCAAGTAGAGTGTCAGATAAGATCTCTCCAAGCCACAGAGCACCGTGCCTGCCTCACCTCGACGCTTGGACGCCGTGACATCACTGGCATCTTCTCAATAGCCTTGAGGTCTGCAGGGGTGGTGGTGAGAGATGGATGGGATGCTAGGGGATACCCTGCCCTCTTGATGAATGCAGTGGGCAGGAGAATATGTAGAGGGAGGGAATACAGAGGTCTACTTGCAGAGCACCAGCCCACCTCCATCAGGTCATGCTTGCGCCACTGTCAGTGACCTTCTGAGAGCCCCGGTTTCTTCATGTGCAGATAAGATAAGAATAGTAAACAGCCTGTCCCCATCACAGGGCGGTGGCTCTGGAGATAATGGCTGCAAGAGTGCTTTGTGAAGTGGAAAACTGTTTTCCAGATATGAGGGACCATTATCCTTCTGTGATGCAGATCTGGTGTGGGTGGCTGAATCGCCTCTGCCCTGGGGAAGCCAGAAGCAGAGAGAGAGCAGGGGCGCAGGTAGGTGTGAAGGGCAAGTTTGGGGAGGTCAAACCACTGAACCACTGGACTAGATGACTACAGGAAGGGCACTGTGCCTTGGGGACAGCTCAGGCACTTTCAGTTTTATATGCATAAAATGTAAAGCTTCCAAGTTACAGTCACCCATATGTGAGAGGTTTTCCATGCTGCATCTCAACAATGCACCAGATGTGCACTCCAGCCTTCTGTGGCTATGGGTCCCTAACCTCAAGCTGTACGGATACCCTCATTCAGGCAAGTTATTCAACCTGCATATTTAGGGCCAGACGAGACCCTCCTACGTGCCCATGGTTGACTCTAGAGAAGGAACAGAAATAGGTTTCAATTTTCTTTTTCCTTCTTGCTATCTCTTTCTTTTTCATTTGTTTGTTTGTTTTAAGACAGGGTTTCTTGTGTTTCCTTGGCTGTCCTGGACTTGCTTTTTGTAGACCAGGCTGACCTCGAACTCACAGAGATCCTCCTGCCTGTGCCTCCCTGAGTGTTGGGATTAAAGGTGTACACCAGCACGCCAGCTTCCTTTCCTTTTGTGTGTGTGATGGGGGGAGTGCACACTTTTGCTCAGACATGGTAGGGCATGCCTGTGACTCTAGTACTTTAGTGTCTAAGGCAGAAGAATTATGAATTCTGAGATACATAGCAAGACCCTATCTTTTTGTAGTAGTTGTTGTTTGTTTTGTTTTGTTTTGAGACAGGGTTTATCCGTGTAGCTTTGGCCGTC